TTATTAATTATTGTCAACTACTATGGTTAGATTTGTTGGCAGTAAAATTAGATGTTTTAGGGTAATATATTTTGTTCCAAAAAAGACATCCAGAAAATCGACAGCTGTGGAAAGATTTAAAAAAAGTGGAATGGACAGAGGAAAGAGGAGAAGACGAAGAAAGTTACCCCAAATGTGAGCCAACCACCCAATGAAAATTTCACGGGGTAGTTGTCCTCTAATACAGTATACTGCTAATAATACAGTACCACTCGACCTATGCATGCTCTATATGCCCTACACTCCACACTCCTAAACGCCCACTTGACACTACTGGGGACCACATCATACAACTTGGCGGTTCGGCGGTTTTTTACCTAGACTTTTTTTTTTCTTTCAAATTTATATAAATTTCAAACACAGGTAAAATATTGTTAGATTCCGTATTCATCACGATTTAGCTCCTGTTTGGCCATAGATTTTGGCAACTTTTTTTCAATTTTTTTTTTGAAAACATTGTTTGTTCATAGATTAATGATTCATTTTTGAAAAATTTCTGAAATTATTTTTCAAGTTCCCAAAATCTAGTTTAGGGTAGTTTTTGGGTGAAATTTGTTCTCCGATCACGCCCAACTATGCCTTATAAAAAGGACAATGCGGTCGTTGCAAATATAATCCGGTTTACAAGTCCGGAGTCGAATCCCACAGAGAACTAAGGTTTAGCTACAGCTGTTCACTATCACCAAGAAGACAAGCTTGAACAATTCCTAACTTATAGATATTAAGATTCTTCTGTTTAACTAATTAACTAACAAATTAAAATAGTAAATTAACAACTAACGATACTGAGGGTTAGAGAAAAGATTAAGGAGGTCTAGAGTTATGATTTCCCCTATTGTCGGAATCCTTCCCGCTATGTCTTCTATAATTTCGCCTAAGTATTTTCTACCGATCATGAGCACTCTTATTACCGTAAATCTCTCCCGAGTAATTACGACAATTTACTAGACGCACTCTCCCGAGCTACGCTAGCTGGCTTTTAATACAGCTCACTTCAGATCGCACCCAAGGCTTCGTTATCCCTAATCCCGCCTTTAAACCCTCGGTTATTGATCCCTCATATACTCTGGGAGTGGTGTTGTTCAACAATTACCTAAATATGCACTCTCTCCCGAGTTATGCATACTAAATAGGCACAGCTAATTGAGAGCTCTTCAATCAACCAGAATATAAACGTAGTTGAACAAATAGAGAAAAGCTATGGCTCAATTATATAAAAACATAACAAGAATTTATCCTACAAAAGGTTCTATCAAAACTCTAGATAACAAATTAGCTATTCATAATAGTATGTAAAACTACAATACTAAAAGTCATAACCAACAATGAAAAATAGGAAGAGGAAGGAAAAACTCGTAGAAGAATTCTCCGCCTTGCTCCCAATGTGTTCTTGCCTCCAAGGGTGTTGTCTAACCCTAAAGTAGTGTCTCTCCGCCTCCTTAGGTCTAATTTGTGTCCAAAATATGTCCCCCTTCTTGTTCTTGGCCGGCCTCCTTTGTTTAATATAGGGTTTAGGACTTAAAATCCCATGTTTTGCACTTTAGTCCCTGAAATTTTCGCTTCCTGCCGCGGTTTTGCCGCGGTTGCGGTGGAACCGCGGCCAAACATGCCCTCTGATTCTTCAATTGTCCGCGACCATCTTCTACCGCGGTTCTGCCGCGGTCGCGGCAAAACCGCGGTCGCGGCAAAACCGCGGTTTTTCACCCTGTTCCGTTTGGAATTTGGAATAACGTTAACATGAAAGTTGTAGCCCTTTGAGTTAGCTTTCCAACCATATATTGTGGAGCCCAAATGGAGTTCTGAGCAAAAAGTTATGTCTATTTTACTAGACAGTGCGCAATATGCCTCCTCAAGTCTTCGTTCGTACTTAATTATCAAATTTGACCCCTGAACACGATCCCGGCTTAATTCCTTGAGCTTTTACTCAGACTTCAAAGCTTCAAATCACTTAAATTCATTCCATAACATCTATATAGCTCGGAATCACACCTACAAGGCATAAAACACACAATTAGTGCAAAACACTAGCGATTAAAGCGCAAACTCAATTAAAGTGCAGTAAATTCGAGTGTAATAAGCGACTAAAATATGCAATTATAGCCTATCATCATTCTCCCACTCATAAAACTTCAAATTTTTTTCAAATAAAATGCATGTCCAAAATATAATTTCAACTTCCAAAAATCATTTTTCAAGACTACTTCAAAAATTATTTTTTCAAGTTTCAACCAAATCTATGTCCAAACGCTAGCTTAAAAATTGAAAATTATGCTAGATCAATCTTTTATGTTAATCCATTTAAATTTTGATCCCTTAAGAAATTTTAAAAAAAATAACCTCTAGCTTAATTTTGAAGTATTCTGGTCGGAATTTTGAGAAGCGATCGGGGCGATTGCCATAATTTTGAAGTATTATGAATTCAGCTACAAAATGCTGAATTAATTAGGAAAAATGACACTGTATGTCGAAAAAATATATAAAATTTGTATATATATGCATTATGTATGTTATATACAAAAACTATACAAATTTACACACTTTTTTGCCTACCAGATATAAATAGTTTATGGCGCGGGCTAAAAGTGATAATATCCCAATTAATTATGGTGATTCGTCGGGATATTATCACAATTCTGACTAATCACCATAACTTGCTGAATTTCTGGCGAATGTGCTGTAATATCCGGCGCCATGCCATTTTCTCAAAATTTTATTATCTGGGTCAAAAGATCAATAATAACACAAAAATATCCTATTTGTGTCATACTCCATTTAAAATAGGACTCGTAAAAATACTCTATCTCATGAGCTAATTCTTTAAGTGAATTAGATCCGTGGTTTTATGCTTAATTAAACAAATTGACGTTATTAACTTGTTCTTGTTCAATTGAGCATTTTTTTTTTCATTTTTGCTATGTAAAAACAAATGGATGAGCTATTATAAAATGTGTCCGTACATGCACATACGTGTGGACAGTTTTCTTTGTTTATTTTCTTACTTCAATTAGAAACATAATTTTTCTGACTTTCTCTAATAATGTTGATCATTTCATAGCAAAAATTTATTGAAAACACTAATACAAAGAGTGTCTAGGAAGTCTGTATCCTTGGACTTTGGCTTGTCAATATGATGTTCTTATTGCAATTGTATAGTATAGTATAAGCTTTCTTCGACCCAAAAAACATTTTTAAAAAAGCACTCCAAATAAGAAGAAGATATTAGGGTGCATCTAATTTTTCGTGTCTTTAATTACTTTTATCGTTATATTGTTAATATATGCACTCTTGTTCCACTTCTATTTCACACAATATAATTTTTATGTTTTACATAAAATAATGCAGATTTTATTTATTACCACCAACAAAGGCCAATTGATATTGCATTAGTTAATGTATATTTTCTTAATCCATCCAATCAGAAAAATTAATATCAGACTACTTGAAGCATATGAGTATGATATCTATGTATTCATGTAAAAGATATTTTTGCAAAAGGGATTATTGAATGAATTTTTTTCTTTCTCTCGTTCTTTACTAAGAAAATGTTATCCTTCGAAACAAAAGGACGACAACATTAATCCTATACATAGGAAAACATTTAAGAAGCTTTGAATTATATATAAACCATTAGTCAAAGAAGAACGTAAATATTGTTCTGTGTCCTTGCCTTCTGTTATATTATATGTCTACATATATATAGTATTGTTATGTCAGTCGTCAATTAGTAGAATATAAACAATTATTAAGATGCATATCCCAAAAAATTACATAAATTATCGATAAAGGACAACCGTGAATCATTTGAGAGATCGAGGTTAAGTATCAATAATTTCCCATGGGATTGGACAACTTTAATTCATTTTAATAAAAGGAAATTATATGAATCATAAAGAAGATGCTCTAACAAACAAAATTCATTTAACAAGCAATCTGCACATGGAAATAGCATTAAGAGATTTTGTACGATAAACCAGAAAAATTACATCCATGACAAAATAGTCTTCGCCATATTGTTTACTTTTACCCTAACGTCATTGAGTTTTTGAGATTCAAACTCACGAGGTTAGAATTTTACAGTGTAACATTTTGGTAATTCTGTTATCTTAAAAGACATTCCTGTAAATCACTAATCGCTAGCTGTAAACTTTGACAAATTTAGCTAACCAATATTTTCTCCATCATTTCTTGGCTATTAATTAATCAACATACAACCGAAATCAGTACAATCAGAGGCGGACCTACCCTTAGGGTAAGGGGTCACTGGTCCTCGACAATTTTGAGAAAAATATATGTCTATCTGTGTATATATTTTAAATAACACGTATATATTTTGATTGACATATTAAGACTCAAAGATTAGGCAATTGCATTAGTTGATTTGGGGGCACAACTTGACTTTTAATGCGCTGTGTACGTTCGATTCCCACGTCAGAATTTGCTTAAATTTTTATTTGATGACCCCACCACTTCCAAATCTTGGGTCGGCCTCAGCAGTTTAATATTTACATATTAACCGTGTAAAAAAATTGATAATCGTCTCTTACAACGTATATTATAAAGTTCACTATTAATCTAAATTTTTTAATGTATACATAACTAAAATCTATAAAGCATATGCATCAACGTACTATCTAGTTAATCATTTTCTTTTATTGATTTCATGTTATACCCAAAGTAAATCTTGAAACCCAACGTAATCTCTGTCTTCACACTCTCCAAGGAACTTGCAAACAAAAAAGCACCCTATAAAAATTCAGAAAAAAATCTTTTTACCGACCACATCTTACCAATTTACAGAAAATAATTGGACAGTAGAGAAAGAAAGACAGTAGATTCTCTTTATATATTTCTAATATAAGGTATAAACAAGTCACGATAAATGGACCCCATTAATAAATTTTTTCTTTAATTTTTTCATTTATCCATCACGGGTTGCTACAAAACAACATGCTGTCTATACAACTCTTCTTCTCCTCCTATAAAGAAACCAAAGATTTGCCTCTCATTTCACAGCTTTTTCTCTTTTCTTTAACAAGGCAATGGCCTTGACGTATAGTAATATGAAGAAACAACACTCTGTTTTGCTCTGTTTCTTCTTCTTCATTTTAAGCCATTTTGCCTTAAATTTCAAGCCAGTTTTGGCTCAAACTACATCTCCTGTTTTTGCTTGTGATGTTGCAAACAATCCTGGGGTAAAGAACTTTGGTTTTTGTGATGTCTCATTAGATGTGTCAAGCAGGGTAAATGATCTAGTAAAAAGATTAACATTGGAGGAAAAAATTACTATGTTGGTAAATACTGCTGGAAGTGTAAGTAGACTTGGAATTCCAAAATATGAGTGGTGGTCTGAGGCTTTACATGGGATTTCATACACTGGTCCTGGAGTTAAATTCAATGGTGTAGTTCCTGGTGCCACTAGCTTCCCTCAACCTATTCTTACTTCTGCTTCTTTCAACGAGACTTTGTTTGAAACCATTGGAAAGGTAATATTATTGCTCCTTCTTTCACCTTTCTTCATCATTATTCCTTGTTATTTATTAGATTGGTATCTTAGTGGCGTGCTAGTTCCACTGATTATGCGTGGTAAATTGATCTAATAGTGTAAAATAACTTTTTTGTATATAGAAGGAGTTGATTTTTTTCTTCTTCTTGAAGATTGAATTATTAGCCATTTCGTAATAAATGCTTGATCGGTGATTTATTGTTCATTAGAAAAGAAATAACCTATTAACTTCTAACAAGATAATAAAAAGGTGAAGGCCAATTTGTAGACGTACGTCGCCATCATGGCATTATCTTAAGACCACGCAGTTTTTTTTTTTTTAAATCATAGATTGTATTTTTTGAAGACGGCACTAACTTGTGTCCAATTTATGTCATATGTCGTCTTGTTGATGCTAAATTGATTTGCCGTGTGAAAATTAAAAGGGCCAATAAACAGATCCTTTAGAGATTTACTTTTGGGAAGTAGAATGAAGCCATTTTTCTCATAATGGATTCTTATATCAGCAAAATGCAGTTTGTTTAATAATTAAGTGGACATGATAAACTAGGATATATTCAAATATCTTTTGTTGGAAAATTTTACTCATTTGGGCATGTATTTTAGAAAGAATTACAGCTTGCAAAATATTTTATTTAGTCACGTAATAGATTGCATTAGGTTCAGAAGTTTGGTTGAAATGTTTACATCTTTTTTGAATGACCATAATTGACAAATCCATGCACCAACCAATCATTCATTAACCTATCAATCATGCTAAATTGCCTATCCAACCATATGGTTATGATAGGGATATATTATACTGTCCTTTGTTATAGGAAAATGACCGTTCCTGATTAGATCTTCATGTGATTAATGCTCAAAAAAGCAGTTGGAAGTTAAAGATTAAAAAAAATGGATTTACATTATATACAATGACAGTGTTAAGATTTATTTTACATTGATCTGTCATAGCATGTTAGTTACCATTTTTGCTACGAGATTACTACATTATGTTTATCAACGCATACAACTTGAACTCAAAAGATAGTAATGTTTACAGGCAGTATCCACTGAGGCTAGAGCAATGTACAATGTTGGTTTAGCAGGCTTGACATATTGGTCACCAAATGTGAACATTTACCGCGACCCCAGATGGGGAAGAGGCCAAGAAACACCAGGAGAAGATCCAACACTCGCCAGCAAGTATGGTGTAGCTTATGTTAAAGGTTTGCAGCAGCGCGATGATGGTAAAAAAGACATGCTCAAGGTTGCTTCTTGCTGTAAGCACTATACAGCTTATGATGTCGATGATTGGAAAGGAATCCAACGTTACAATTTCAACGCTAAGGTACTACTCGGTTATTGCCCTTGTCTTGAAAGCCTGCGACAAATATTTAGTCAATTTTTAGTATGATACTCAATAACATTGTGTTCTTTTTGTTGTGGTGAGTAGGTAACACAACAAGATTTAGATGATACATTTAACCCCCCATTCAAGAGTTGTGTTGTTGATGGAAATGTAGCCAGTGTGATGTGTTCATACAACCAAGTCAATGGCAAGCCTACCTGTGGTGATCATGACCTTTTGTCTGGGGTTATCAGAGGACAATGGAAATTAAATGGGTATATTTCACTGTTTCATGTGTAATATTATAGTCTTTCAAAAAATAATATTTGGAGGAATTCATGAACTAATACAAGTATGGTACATACAGATACATTGTTACTGATTGTGATTCATTAAATGAGATATACTGGGCTCAACACTACACCAAGACACCAGAGGAGACTGCAGCTTTGTCTCTAAATTCAGGTTAACCATTTTCAGCCCCTTTTAGTTGGACTAAATCGACGATAACATCAGTCCTAAGCAAACATATATAATGTGACATGCTTGTTTTGACCTTACTAAATCAAGAATTTGCTAAATGTGATAGGGCTGGACCTGAATTGTGGATCTTGGCTTGGTAAATACACTCAAGGTGCTGTAAACCAAGGACTAGTAAATGAATCAGTTATCGATAGAGCAGTCTCAAACAACTTTGCTACACTAATGAGACTTGGATTCTTTGACGGTGATCCGAAAAACCATGCCTATGGAAACCTTGGTCCCAAAGATGTCTGTACCCCAGAACACCAAGAGCTAGCTCGTGAAGCTGCAAGACAAGGAATTGTCTTGCTTAAAAACAGTGCAGGATCATTACCTCTGTCCCCCAAATCGATCAAGTCTTTAGCAGTCATTGGCCCTAATGCCAATGTTGGCTATACCATGATTGGCAGTTATGAAGGTACACTTTGGATACTGTCCTATACACTGACGGTGTAAAGATTCGTTACACATTAAGTGTATATAAGTTAAAAAAACACTAGTTTCTTGTACTCAACTTCTTGAAATCTTGCAGGCACTCCATGCAAGTTAACAACTCCATTGCAAGGACTAACTGCGTCAGTTGCTACAGTTTACCACCCGGGCTGTTTCAATGCCAGTGTGTCTTGTGACACAGCACTAGCTGATGATGCCAAGAAAATAGCAGCTGCAGCTGATGCTGTGGTATTGGTAATGGGATCAGATCAATCTGTTGAGAGGGAGAGCAAGGACAGAGTAAATATAACACTCCCTGGACAACAATCACTTCTTATAACTGAGGTTGCTAGTGTTTCAAAGGGACCTGTAATCCTAGTTATCATGTCTGGAGGTGGTATGGATGTACAATTTGCTGTTGATAACCCTAAAGTTACAAGCATTGTGTGGATTGGTTTCCCTGGTGAAGATGGTGGTGGTGCCCTAGCTGATATTATTTTTGGATACTATAATCCAAGTAAGTTTCCTCTTTCCATATTCAGGAGACTTCACCAAATCAAGATCTAAATTTTCTTTTTTAAGAGGTTTAGTTCATCAACACTGCATAAATGGCCTTCATAGGGCAAGCCTCTCCCCACCTTATGGTGTTTTAAAGGTAAGTTGATGATGCCATAAGTCAAATGGGAGGGTGAGGCAAGAGTGCTTCACTGCGTTATCTAGTGAGGATAATACATCCTATATAGTAGCACAGTCTTATCCCGCTATTAGTAGTCGAAGTGTGGGCGAACTAATTCAGGAAAAACTCTCACATGTGCCTTTAGTGCCTAATTTCAGGCATATATCTTGAGCTGTGAGGTTAAAGGAGAGCGTTGCAGCAATGATAAAAGTTGTCTCGGTGTGATCTAGAGGTCACGGGTTCAAACTCTCAAATCAGTCACTAACGTTTGTGTTCGGGTAGGCTACCTACAACGTGCGGCCCTTCCCCGGACCCTTTGTGAACATGATACCTTGTGTACCAGGATGTCCATTTTTTTTTATCCTGATCCGTGAGGTTAAGCCTAATTAAATCAAGATCTTAGGGATCGTTTGGTTGGGAAACAAGTTATTACATGATTAATTATCCTGAGATTAGTTATTCCACCCTCCCATAGGGATAAAAAAGCACAACAACCCGGGATAACTAATCCCGGAATTAGTTATACCACGATTTTATCCCAACCAATCACGGGATAAACTCATCTCAAATTTAATCCCGGGATAAATTATCCCTTATCCCTCGTATCAAACGGACCCTTAGTTTTTAACTCATCCCCCTATGACTAAATGACTAATAAATTTTATTGGAATCTTGCAGGTGGAAGGCTTCCAATGACATGGTATCCACAATCATATGCAGACAAAGTTGACATGACTAACATGAACATGAGGGCAGATTCTAAAACAGGATTTCCAGGAAGAAGTTACAGGTTCTACAAAGGTCCAACTGTTTTTAACTTTGGAGATGGATTAAGTTACTCTAACTACAAACACCACCTAGTACAAGCACCAAAATATGTCTCCATTCCTCTAGAGGAAGGACATGCTTGTCGGTCGACGAGGTGCAAGTCCATTGATACTGTTAATGAGCAAAGCTGCAGCAACTTAGAATATGACATTCACTTGAGAGTTAAAAATGTTGGGAAAATGAGTGGAAGTCACACAGTTTTCTTGTTCACTTCACCACCCTCAGTTCACAATGCACCTCAGAAACATTTGTTGGAGTTTCAAAAGATTCATTTGACACCACAAAGTGAAGGGATTGTTAAGTTCAAGTTAGATGTATGCAAGCATTTGAGTATAGTTGATGAGGTTGGAAACAAGAAAGTTGCTTTAGGATTACATGTGCTTCATATAGGAGATTTGAAACATTCCTTGACTGTGAGGATTTAAAGAAATCCTCATGGTTCTATTTCTTTACCTTTTTTTTTGATCATTTGTGCCCTTTTCTCAAATAGGGGAATGGGAAATATGAAATTATCAATCAGTTGAGGCAATTGTAACAAAATTTCTTATTTTGTCAAAATGTCCAACTTATGTAGAAGAAAGAAAATGTTAAAAGTTAAATGAAGTTTCTTCTTATTTATTTCTTATTCTTTTTATTCTCTCTCTGCCTTTTTATTTGGTATATCTACATTACAACAAAAGAAATTATGAAACAAAAAAACACTGGATTTGAGGTGTTCCAATGGCTCAAGATGTGATAGAAAAGAAAATTAACATAGATAACCCAAAAAAGAGCGATACTATAGATTTGTTTGCACTGACAAAATTCATGTATAAATATTTAACATCTAGATTATTAGTAAATTAAAGTTTTATTAATAAATTAAAGCATTATTATTATAACATAATACTAGCATAATAAAATGCTGACGATAATGTCTGTGTCCCTAGGTGTTAGTATTTCGTTCGTTACTCCATAAAAGAAACTTGACATAAGTTGAAAAACTGATAATTCTATAGTTCGTTTAGGTAGAAAAAAATAATCAGAAATACCCTTATTTACCGCTGCTAATTAATAATTAGTCATAATTTCAAAAGTAATCGAATTTTGCCACTTTTTCATGTGAAAATAAAATTTGAACAAAAAGAACTCGGAGCCTAAAGAGAAGAGAGTTCAGTCTACAAGAAGCTGGCAGAGCTTTAGCCATTGGGCCACTTCCATCTATCCTAAGCAGTAAACCTTTTCCCAGACCCCATCTGGTGGGATTTTACTGGGTAGTTGTTGTTTTATTGGAGACTAATTCAAAAACACTATTAAAAATCCGGTAAAACAGTAGCATCATATGCTGGAGTTTGAATTTTTTTACATATGAAATTTCAACATAATTTGATGGAATTCAATCATTCTTAACGTGTTGGAGTTCCAACATAATATGTTGAGAAGTTTATATGCATGAGTTCCATAATCTAACATATTATTGTCACGACCCGGATTTCCCATCCTCGGGAGTCGTGATGGCGCCTACTAATAGGAGCTAGGCAAGCCAACTAATTTAACAATTCTCTCAACATCATTAACAGTATAAAGAAGAACGGGGCAATTAATATAAAAGCGGAAGTCTCGAAACATAAATAACTGAAACCAAGTGCGTAAATTCAAATACACCTCTACCCAGATCTGGTGTCACTAACTCACGAACTTCTACTGAATGCTAAATACAAAGTATGAATAAGAATACAGTACTGTCTGATCCGATACAAGGGAAATCAAACGAAAGACAGAGATAAGAGAGACTCCGGGCCATGCGGACGCCAGCAAGCTACCTCGGAAATCTCCGGACTGAAGTAAGCTCCCAACGCTCCTACTGCTGACCAAAGGCTCCTGCTCCGGTACTATGATCTGTGCAAAAAGCAAATAAGTGTAGCATCAGCACAACCGACCCCATGTGCTGGTAAGAGCCTGGCCTAACCCCGGCGAAGTAGTGACGAGGCTAGACAGGACCTACCAAAAACAACCTGTGCAGATATATATATACAAAGGCAGCAGAAATAACAACAGAGAATATCAACTAAAAAGGGGAAGGGGCATGCTCGGGGAAAAATACAGCGAATACAGATCAACGGATATAACGACGAAACTATCTCAATACCATAGCTCATATATAAGTGGTCGGCGCGCCACACGATCCCATTTCTTAATTCATAAGTGGACGGCGTGCCACACGATCCCATTTATAATATAATATAAGTGGACGGCGTGCCACACGATCCCATATTATAGTATATAAGTGGACGGCGCGCCACACGATCCCATATCATAGTTCAAAATATCTGGCTTTGTAAAGAAGGCCCCATTAGGGGAATTCAACAACATAACACTTTAACCCGGCAAAGGTACAGCTAACAACCCAAATGTCCCGGCAAGGAAGAGTACATAATAATAGTCTACACGTCCCGGCAAGGGAATAATCACAACACATCCTCTTTTAAATCACTTCTTTCTCAACTATCACATTCTTGCTCGAGCCAACGCTCCAAAATATACCAATCACGATTCTTCCTCAACCGCTCACATTATATAAAATTTATCAATTAAACATGGAAGTTGTGTCACATCATTCGAATTAAAAGCAATTAAGACTCACGGTCATGCTAGACTCCGGTGCATAGACAACCGTCACCATGCCTATACACCGTACTCCACATTTAGCAAGTAGCAAATAACATCCTAATCCTATTCCCTCAAGCCAAAGTTAGAACAAACACTTACCTCGGTCCAAGAATAGCAATCAACTCTCTAATAGCGCCTTTCCTCTACAATCCAACTCCGAAACAATGATATCTAGGCATAATTAGTTCAATAATATCAATAAGGGCTCAAAAACATAATCCCATAGCCTAGAAATGAAATTCCTATCATTCTTCCAAAAATACCAAAATTCGACACCGGTCCTACATGGTCCAAACACGAGGCTCGGACCCAAACCCAATCACCCATAACCCCACGAGTTCATATATATAATTTGTTTCAAGATTCGACCCCAAATTGAGGTTGAATCACCCAAAATCCCCAAAGCCCTAACTCTACCCAAAACCCCCATTTTCTACCTTGAATTCATGATTTAGGGCTAGGAAATTAGTGATTAGTGAAAGGAATTAAGAGGAAAGAAGTTAAGAACACTTACCTAAGAGGCTATGGAGAAAGAAGCTCTTCAAAATCGCCTATGGAGTGTTAGGGAGAGGAGCTCGTGTGAAGAAATGGCTAAATCCCGAGCTACTAATTCTGTTTTGGACTTAAAAATTCGCTGGGCAAAATTGCCCTTCGCATTCGCGGGAAAGGGGCCGCGTTCGCGAAGGGTAAACTGGACACTCCATCGCGAACGCGTGAAATAGAATGCGAACGCGTAGAAGAAAATGTTGGGGGGTCCAGGGACTGTTATACGCGAACGCGTGAGGGGCCACGCGAACGCGTTGAGGAAGCTGGTAAAGCTACGCGTTCGCGATAGTGAGGATGCGAACGGGAAGGAGGGGGAATTAGAACTACGCGATCGCGTGAAGTAGGACGCGAATGCGTAAGAGGGGAAGACCAAAGAACTGCGAATGCAAGCCTGAGGCCGAGTTCGCGAAGAACAAAATGCCTGTGTAAAAATGCAGCAGAATCTGATCCTTTCCTAAGTGTAAAAACACCCCGAACCACCTCCAATTCACTCCCGAGCCCTCGGGGCTCCTAACCAATCACACACACTAACTCAATAACATCCTACAAACTTACTCGAGCGATCAAATCGCCAAAATAACATAAAAAATCATTGAATCAAGCCTCAAGGTCATCATTTTCATTTCAAACATCATAACTTCAAATTTTAGATATTTAGGTCCGAAACACGTCAAATGACATCCGATTTCGACCAAACTTTACAGAAAACGCTTAACATATATTTAAGACTTGTACCGGGCGTCGGAACCAAAATACGAGCCTGATACCATAGTCTTTTAATCAATTTTCATTTCCATTTTCCTTAATTATTTCAAAAAAACAATTTCACAGAAAAATTTATTTCTCGGGCTCTCGACCTCGAAATTCGACTCCGGGCATATGCCCGAGTCTCATATTTTTCTACGGACCCTCCAGGACGGCCAAATCACGGGTCCGGGCCCGTTTACCAAAAATATTGACCAAGGTCAACTTTAATAAAGCCACATTATGAAATTTTTCACAGAATTTAACATATAAGCTTTCCGGCTACGCGTCCGGACTGCGAACGCAAATTGAGGCAAGCAGAAATGAGGTTTTCAAGGCCTCGGAAGCACGGAGAAAGAGAGAAATCCGGTGATGACCCTTTGGGTCGTCACAATTATGCTTGAACTTTTTTGTGTTTCAGCTAGGATAATTTTGTCCAGATTTTATCTGTCTTAAATAGTGGTTGCTTTTTAATAACTTTGCAGACACTCGCTATTTTTCATTTAACTACTCATAAAAATGGCTATGCCATGCCATTTTGACTGCATTAATTTCCTTTGGGCCTTTTTCGAACTGGGCTACCGCTACAGATTGGGAGCTTCGTCCACTTGGGCCGTTTCCAGGAGAAGGGCATCTTTGGGCTTTGGCCCATGTTATAGAAACGAAACAAAAACAAAATATAATTGAGCTTTTAACACATTTGATCGATCGATCGAAGATAATTACAACTGCTACTGAAATATACACTATTATTTGTAATATATATATATATATATATATATATATATATATATATATATATATATATATATATGTATATTATATATTAATATATAATTTTTTTTATATTTTTCGGCTATTATTTTGGAGAATAGCTATACAATGTAGATTTCTAATAAAAAAATATCCTCAGTTATCTGAACACATTTACCAGTGGAGTTTTTTCCTGGCAAGACCGTATTACCTTCTATATGTGTTTTATATAAATTAAACCAATTTTATGATTTTCGACAAAAATAGATCTCTACACGGAACGTAAAAATTATTTAAAACCTTGTGTCTTGAAGAATGAGCAAGATAGCCTCTCCAAAGCCCAATATACCAAGCAAAATAACCTCTCCAAAACAACAGTAAAGAAAGAAGAGAAGTATATGTATATGAAGTTATCCAAAAATTGGATATCTATTAAATTTATTTTAAAAGTGGGTAATAATTAAATAGGTAACGCAAAACTGGACGCCACATGAAAATTTTATCAAAATTTATTGACGATGGTAAGTTGAGAAGGCAATTACGGCCCAGAATTATGCATGGCCCAAAAGTATGGGTCAAAATTGTAAAAATAGCATGGGCTAGCCAGTTTTCGGACTAGTCATTCAAAAATAGCCAGTGTTTGCAAAGTCATTGAAAAATAGCCACTATTTTGCTGCAACACGGAAAGTTCCAGCATAATATACTGGAGATCCGTGCACCTGTGTATGAACTTCCAGCATATTATGCTGGAACTCCAACACGCGGAAAGTTCCAGTATATTATGTTGGACCGGTATATTATACTGGACCTCCAGTATAATACTTATGTTGGAACTTCAGTATAATATATTGGAGTTCCAGTATATTATACTGGAGTATTTTTCTGGAGTTTGAACAATGTTTTCGTTCAGATTTATCTTTACATGAAAAGTGG